TCATATAGGGTGAGCCACAGCCCAGTAGAAATACACTATAAGTTGCACACTATAACCAAACCCCTTTACTATTAATCTTTTTATTATTAAAATAGGGAAAGCAAGGCCACTTTGACATTTTTTGGACCCTAAGAACTCCTAATATGGGGCCTTTTTGTATACTAAAAAAAATTATGATAAAAAATTATGTATAATTTTTTTAATTGTACTTACAAAAATGTTACTTCCATATACAACTAGTAAAATTTATTAAAATTTGTAACAAAGTTTACAATAAGAAAAACGATCAAAATATTCTAAGCTCAACTACTAAATAAAAAGTGAACAAACTGTAACAAAATATCATTTGAAGATCATTCATGCATTTTTAACTGCAAAATTGTTGATCAAGCTTGCACAATTCACTTATAAATTAAATCATTTTCAATGATAAAATTGCTAATTCATTAAATTTTTAGAGACAACTTTGCATTAATTTCAAATAATTCACCATATCAATCATCCTTTTAGTTTTTTCTGATAAAAATAATTTTATATTAGTTTTAAATAATTCAACATATCAACCATATAGCAGATTTGAATGTTCGTCGAACTTGGTTGGGAACCCCTTAAAAAAACTGGAGCTAATCACATCCATAGAAAAACTGAAGCTAGAGCCTCTCTTGTCACATAAACATCAATCGAAAACGAGAAAGACGGGTAAAACGACTCTGATAAAAATGATTATACATTAGTTTTAAATAATTCAACATATCAACCATATAGCAGATTTGAATGTTCGTCGAACTTGGTTGGGAACCCCTTAAAAAAACTGGAGCTAATCACATCCATAGAAAAACTGAAGCTAGAGCCTCTCTTGTCACATAAACATCAATCGAAAACGAGAAAGACGGGTAAAACGACTCTGATAAAAATGATTATACATTAGTTTTAAATAATTCAACATATCAACCATATATCGTATTTGAATGTTCGCCGAACTTTGTTAGGAACCCCTTAGAAAAATCGGAGCTAATCACATTGTAACTCGCTTTTTGTTCTCCTTTCGGATACGACTAGCTCTATAATTTGAACCTCCATGGTTCTAAATCTGATTCCACAAGTACAATGTGAAATAGATAAACACAAATGAGTCCAAATCTGACAATTCTTTTTGAAAATCAATTTTGAACAAAATGCCAAAAATGGACTACTTTGCTAGATATAGAGTCGCCGCTTAAATATTTTTGGGAAATTTAGAAAACCTATGACTCGTGCCAAAGGCCACGTGTCCCTCATCACCTAAGATTGTCTCGGCTCGGGAAATTAGGTACGAAAGGGGAAGGTCATGAATTGAGCACCCCACTCGCCCAATCAAAGATCGGCCTCCACTAATCATAATGTGATTCTTATTTACATTGAATGCTCTTGTTCCGGTTATTAGGTTAGCATTACTATGTGTTGTACACAAGTATAAACTAATTTGAAAAAATTGGAACATTTGATTTCATGTTTGTTTTGAAAATTGTTTCGAATACGTACCACTTGAAAAATTGATCTCATATGTATGTTACTCAAATTGTTCCAATTCAAGCAATTAGCCTTCATCCGCAGGC